TGTGAAGGATATCCTGCTAACCTCTATTTATAGGACCTGGGGAGGGGAGGGGAAGGACAGGGAGCAGCACATTGTAATACAGCATGCAAAATGAAGTCTTACCAATAGCATAAGATAGCTGTACTAGCTCAAAAATACAACTGTCCAGTTCACTGAATATGGATAAATCGTGAAGAAGAACACTACAGCTCTAACTTTAAAGAAACAGCCCACAAAATATCTATCCTGTTTGTGATCTAGGCACGCTTAAGTGGGATATCAATTTTTTCGGTGGTACAGATTAACTGTTACCAACCTGAGACACACGATTAAGTGAATATACCACACTACTCAATACAAATATAAGATTACCAAATAGGAAACTTGACTTTATTCTACTTCCAGCAGCAAGACTGTGAAGAAATCTCTATTTCTAACTTTTATAACCAGTGAACTATCCCTCAAGTTTTTCAGATTAAAGAAAAGGAAACACATATCCCCTAAATTAAAACATGACAAGGATTAAAACCTTTATAAACCATGACGGATGTGTGGTTTTGGTTGGTTTTTTGGTTTTGTTTTTTTAGAAAAATGTTGTTTTCTTAAAAACATAACAGTTCTGCATCATTATCAAGTTACCTTTTGCGACTTAACTTACACTGTACTATTAATTTAACACAACATATACACCTAACAGTACAAGAATTCTAACTCATTCTTCCAGGATACAGTTTGAACTAATTTTCTCAGGGAGAATATACTATACTACATAACTGTCAAATCCCACCTATTCAGTTGGTAATATCTGCTCAGAGTACAGCCGGATAAAAATAAAGCAGCAAACGTGTTTGGTCAATACAAAAAATGTGCTTGCTCCTGTAGAAAAATGAGAATTTCTAAGAGGCACATCTACTGGTAAACTTGCATTCAAAATATAGGTACAAAGAACAGGACTAAGGGAATGGGCAATACAATCAAACATGATCAAATTACGCAACCTGTCTAAGTCACCACCCATTGCCAGAGCCAAACTAATTGACTCTTAAGTGTTCTTTCCTAGCTTGCCACAATTGCTAAGTGCAACGTGCTAGTTCAAACCTCTATATTTAAGTTTTACCTCACAATTCAGATGGGCAGTTAAGATCACATACTTACCACAATTAGCTGACAGGCAGAAACTTGTTACTTCACTGCAACATAATCATACATACCGTCAGAAGCCTATAACCCAAAGGGCAGAAACTGAACTTCCGAGTAGAATTGGAACCTAAGTCAGCCAAAACTACTAATGGTTTCTACTGGACTGGGTGAACAGCTTCAGCCAAAACAAAACGGTTCAAATTGCATAAATAAAAGTGTTGCTGGTGCTTTTCTCTTCCTCCCTTAAGCTCTTTTGTCTGAGAAGAGGATACCGGCCTAATAGCTTAGAGGATGCCTAGTTTGCAGCCGTGATTTGAACTTGGACCTCCCACCATTCAAGAAATTGCTGTAATCGCCAAACCCACCCCCAAAAAATCCCAAATGATCATATCACCTGAAGCAGTAAGTGGCATCTCCTTCTTCATGTAGACTGGCAAAGAGCTGACAGCTGCTACCTCCACAGAAGAAGAGACAGTAAAGCTGGAAGCGCATCACCTCTAGCATACATGGGAAGTCCAGCACAAAACTCATGGCTGCTGCAGTTAGAAGTTGCCATTATAAAACCGCAATTCTCTGTCTACAATGGTATTGTACAGCCAGCAAGTCCAGGAATTCTTGACCTACAGGGTGTTCTGTAGATACCCGGATCTTCACTGTTGAAGCTATTCCACTCTCAATAAAATAATTAAGTATTCAGTGAACAGAGACTGGTACCTCTCTAGTCCTCACAACGTCTATGCATTATAAGACAGTCTTACAGACAAAATGAGTTCTCACACACTCACTGTGCTATTCCCACCATTCTGTGAATAACGTTGAGACCTTTTGTAAAACAGCTCTTTCACTTTCTCCGCTTTCACTGAGAAAGCCCAGAAATGGAACAATATCTGACTGTAAATCTTACCCTCCTCAGAAGTTTGAGATGTTTCACACTTTATTTTAGTATGTATTGTTTTGCACACACAACTTCAGGAAACGCATGCTGGAAAGTTAAGAGAACAGTTTTAAGAACTGGACTTTATGTTCTTAGCTAGTATCACACACATGCCTTCTGAGAACAGGACAGTAATTACACAAACCCTGAATTTATTAACATGCTAGCTTTACACATAAGTAGTCCTACAGAACTAGTCATACGTACAAATGATTGCAGAAGGGATTTTAGCAAGTATAGTCTTCTTCCCTGTAACTGATGTTTAGATGAAATCCAGTGTTTTACTACCTTTCAGCAGCCAGACATCAGAATTTCACTCAATATTTCTGATTGTATCAAACAAAAGCATCACGCTTTTACTACATCTGAGAGGAAGATGTATGAAATAAAACACGCCCATTTCTAAAACAGAGATTAGTCACAGAATACCAAGAAACACTGCTTTCACTCTAAAGTCACGCAGACTTTCACCACCAGATCAGCAAAAGAAATGGTTTTTATTGTTTGAGAAACACTAAGCACTGTCTGTACAATTAAGTTTTATCAGGTAGCAACATGTTGAAATGAATGAAATGAAAGCAATCATCTGCTAGAACTTCTGTTTATATTTAGGTAGGTAAGAATATTTCTGTTCTCTGTTTACACCAAAATTGAAAATGCCGCATGCGTGCCATTCTATTTTAACGCATTTGGGAAGGTTGCTTTGTACCCTTCCATACCGCTGGTTCAAAACAGCACAATACACCCATAACATGGGCAAATAAATAAAAAGAAAACCGTTAACAGGAGGCACATGCTATCTACTTTTCACTTTGTACTTCTATAATTTCGTTAAGAATGAGTAGATTTTCAGTGTTGTGTGTGTATGACAAGCAGTTGCAGAGAGTGAACTTTACACAGCATGACTTCATCACATGAGAGTAGTCTGCCATTTTTCCTCTTTCTGTTCAGCAAACATGCACAGCAACCTAGCCTTCAAAATACATTAAACATTTTGGAATAGGTTCTGGCTTAGCTTTAACTGATTATCTGCAACGAGAATATGCATGTTCTATAGTCCATACAGGACCTGCAAAAGTCAAATCATCAAATCGAGGCGCGAACGTCATCTAACCTAAGAATCATTTTAAGCCATGTGTCAGAAACTTTATAAAGCAGAGGCTATTTTGTTATATAATATGCAAAAAAAAATCACGGTCCATTTTGTTTCCAATTCCGACTGGCTGACTAAGGAATCAAAAAAAAATCATCAGAAGACAGTGACCTTCTGTGTACCACGAAAAGAAGACTGAACGCCTTACGCTTTCCAACCTACCTCCCATGTCCCTAGCGTTGGGGTCGATCCCTTAAGCCCCATCCCCAGGCGTCGTTTCTATACAGAGATAAGCCCCCTCGCAGTTTTCCCTCTCTCTGTTCAACCTCCAGCCTATCCTATTTGCCGCCTGTTCACATGGCAGGTCTCTCGCCAAACCGCTGCGAGGAAATAGAAGTGCCTCGCGCCCTGAAACGCGGCTTCCCCCTCCTTAACAACACGCACGCAGCGGGAACGCCTTGTAACAGGGATCCCGGCTCGGACGCTCTCCAGGGGGCCGAGGAGGAAACTGCTGGGGGGCAGAGAGGGGGGCCCGAAGATCCCC